TATATATAGGCCAGGGCTGGGTTTGAACCTACCACCTCCAGCATATGGGGCCAGTGCCCTATTCTTTTGAGCCACAGGTGCCTCCCTGAATATATTTTTCATTACCTCAAGTCCTGGTATATTAATAGAAGAAGAAATGACTAAAAAAAAAAAAGAAAGATTTGATTTCTCCATTGAATTTGAAGCATAGTTTAGCAGGATATAGAATTCTGGGGTGAAAATTGTTTCATTTAAGAAGGTTAAAGTTAGGGCAGCACCCGTAGGTCAGTGGGTAGGGTGCCGGCCACATACACAAAGGCTGGAGGGTTCCAGCCTGGACTGGATCTGCTAAACAACAATGATAACTGCAGCTGAAAAATAGCTAGGCATTGTGGTGGGTGCCTGTAGTCCCAGCTACTTGGGAGGCTGAAGCAAGAGAATTGCTTAAGCCCAAGAGTTTGAGGTTGCTGTGAGCTGTGACATCACAGCACTCTAACGAGGGCAACATAGAAAAACTCTGTCTCAAAAAAAAAAAAAAAAGAAGGTTAAAGGTAGATGACCATTCTCTTTTGTCTTGAAAGATTTCTGCTGAAAAGTCAGCTGTCACCCTGATGGATCTACCCCTGTAGATCAGTTAGTGCTTATTTCTGGCTATTTGTTGAATTTCCTCTTTCATCTCAACTTTGGACAGGTTTGTTACAATGTGTCTTGGAGGTACTCTGTTTGTGTTGAGATGACCTGGATTTGATATCTCTCAAAGGAGTCAAAGGAATGTGTTGGAATCTTTAGTAATGCTTAGAAAATTTTTATTTACGATATCCTCCAGTAGGGCTTCCATTCCTTTGGAACATTCTTCTTCCCTTTCAGGGATACCTATAATTTGTATGTTTGGATGCTTCATGAAGTCTCATAATTCTCTGAGCAAACGCTCTGCTTTCACTCTCTTTTCTGCCTGGGTGATCTCAAGAGACATATCCTCTAGCTCTAAGATTATTCTCCATGGTCTAATCTGTTATGTATTCTTTCTACAACATTGTTAAATTCCTTGAGTAACTCTTTCAATTTATTATGCTTCTATATATCCATTGTAATTTTTTCATATGCTTCTATCATTATTTGGATCATTTTTTGAATTTCTTTTTGTTATTTTCCATTTTCTGTTCACTCTGTTCACTTCCCTACATTGTTTTTCCATCCTCATTTTACTTTTCTTTCTTCCTTTTTTTTTTTTTTTTTTAGAGACAGAGTCTCACTTTATCACTCTTGGTAGAGTGTGGTGGCATCACAGCTCACAGTAACTTCCAACTCCTGGGATT